AGAAATGGCTGAGAAAAAGCCAAGGGAGACTAACAAGTCAAAGATGGCTTTATCTCAGGTTCTGAGAAATGTTTGTTTGGATTTTGACTTTGCAACCATGAAAGCAGAGTTCTGTTTGATCTGAGGGCACAGACCCGCAGTCATGTTACTGCTGGAGGAGGAACCACGCAGCAGCTGCTGTAATTGCCCATGCTCCTGGTCCAGTGTCAATAACAGGTGAAACGTGTCCCTTTAAACATTTTCCATAGGAATTTTGTCGGTGGAGTATATGTTGGATTAAATTTTTTCACCTAAAGAACGCCAGTCCTTTCAGACTGATGTTTCTCATAAGTGTAGTGGTTTCAGGCTCTGTGTTGAGGTTTGACTGGAGGATTTGGGGGGTGTCTGCAGGGTTGGGTCGTAGGCCCTGTACACCACAGTGAGTCCCAGCATCGTGTACAAGAGCCGTTGGGACAGGATGGTTAGCTGTACCTTCTTAAACTGCTTGATTAGTCTGGCTGAAATGAATAGGTCTGGAAGAATATAAAAATGTATTTATAATATACATTTATAAATATATATAAATATACATTTATAATGAAGCTGCTGCCACTTTGGTAGGCAGCTAGATAGCAGTTTCCTCCCAGAAACTTATTGACTTTATATCAAAAGACCAAAAAGCATCCCTTCACAGTACTCCTGGGGGGCCAGGGATTTTGTGGTAGCACTGAAGACGTTTGCTAGTAAATGACCATCCTTGTCCCTTCTGTTCAATCATTAATCAGACTTACAGTTTAGATAGTAGGTCTAGCTGGCAGATATCCATTTGGTGGGAAAACCAATGGATGGATTGAATGCTGAGGGCTTTGGATTTGGGGCTCATAATTCAGGATAGAAGTCTGAATCTGAACCTGTATTCTGTAAGCAGCAAACTCAGAGACAACCACCCCAAGCACTTTCCAGGAACATGCAAATACAGAGGATCCTTAGGGCCTCACTTTTTAAATAGCTCCTAAAAGTTGACTCCTCCCAGCATGTGATTGCACCATCGATACCTTACTGTCACCCTCCAAAAGAGCAGTTTCAACTTGTGTTAAATATTAGTTATCCCAGTTCTTTCCCTTTTGTTTTAGATAGATCCAGTCAGAATCCCAGCTGCTAGAGGCTGAGCTGGTCCCACTAGGGCAGTGAAGGTTCACAAGTTTGTTACCTGAGCATCTGCTGCTCTGCCTCCATGTGGAGTGTTTGTCAGGGATCAATACAATGTTACTTGGATTGTGTGGCTCAAATTTTGTTGCATGTTCATGGTTGCAGGGAACAGCAGGTTTCTTCAGACAGCTCAGCCATCACCTGCAGCCTTCGCCGTGTGCACACCACCCCCAACACAATGACCAACCTTAGTGTCTCGAGTGTGGCAGTCCCCACAGAGTGCCTGGTCTGCTCAGAGCTGGCCTTGCTCATCCATTTCTTCCCGTGCCAGCACAGTATTGTGTGTGAAGGTAAGTGCGTCTGGGTTTTATTTAATTTTTAAAAATTTTTTCTTTTCTGTTCCAACACATAGCTTCCCTAGCTGGACTCTCATAAATCAGGCTGAGTTTAGACACAAAGCTATTGTGCTGTTTGTGTCCCGAAACACCCCCAGCATGATTTCAGCACAGCCATCTTATCGAAGATGTCCAAAGCTCTCTGAGAAGCAGAGAGTGTTCTGACTACCTGCTGAGTGGGACCCCAGGCAGCTTTGCTGGTGCTTATAGATGCTCTGGATAATTCAGAAGGAAAGCCAGATGTTCTAGCTGGCAGTGCTTTATCCCTCAAAACCCTCTTGAGAAGGATTTCCCTCTCTGGCTTTTGTTACTGGTTTGCATTTCAGTTGTTTTAATGGCAGCCTGCTCAGACGTGTCAGCAAGTTTTGTTATCTTGCGAGGCACTCACAATCTGACCGCAGGGAAGTTGGTAAGGACTGTGTGCCAGAGCTGCATCCTTTTTCCTCGGAGCAAAGGGCTGTTTTGATCCACAGTGCAGCAGTTCCAGTAGCACGCAGCACTGAGGACTTGAAGGTGTTGTATTTGTTACTGGTATAGAGAAGACTGTACCAGGAGGTGGGGATGTAGCTTAAAAAGAAGGTAGTGTCCTCATTTCTGTGCAGGAACTATCTTAATCATCCAGGCAGGTCTCAGGTTGTTCAGAGCTGATGTTCTTGAGTCTGTTGTCTTCCTCTTGATCCTGGCATCACTGGGCTTAATTGTAATCTCTTCTTGTATTATTCGTTGTAGAATGCTCCAGGAGAATGAAAAAGTGCATCAAATGTCAAGTGACAATAACCAAAAAACTGAAACAAGGTATGTTTGCAGCCCTGCTGTTCAGTGCAGTGTTAGTTTGAGCAGCAGCAACGATTTTTCAGTGAAATAAACAGAAGGAAGGGAGTTGATTTTTTTGGTGGTGTTTTGGGTGGGGGTTTGTTGCATTGGCCACCTTTAGAGAGGAAAAGGTAGATTCAGGTGTCATAGGCCAAGCTCAAACTGCATAGACAAGACAGGACATTTGAGGAAGCTTGTCCTGTGCCTGGCTTATTTTGTGTATTGAAAGCAAACACCAGGTTCTTCATGTGTCAGTGTAACTATTTTCACAGGTGGTGATTGAACACTGAAAATTTGTGAGAAAGGAGAAATGATGTCTTGTGAAAACCTTGCTTCTCCTTTGGCTGAAATTCCAGTGCCTGGGCAGGGCGGAATCATTGAGCTGGATTGGTTCAGTAAAGCTCTCTAGCCTGGCTTTAAACAGATTGTCTTTCATTACTCAGTATCCAGCATGAGCAATGTTATGCATCTCAGCAAGCTAGAAGCAGGTTTGCACTTGCCATAAAATTAATGCAGGTTGCCCACTGAAGCTTTGACCATAACAGATGTGAGAGTTGATGTGTTTCTAGCTGAGATCACTCTTAGGGCAGGTGCACGTGAAAATGAATTGTGTGTCCTGCTGCTCATGGTATTGTAGACTCCTTTGTTGGAGTCAGGCTATGGTCTTGTGACTTGATGCCTGGACAAAAGCGTAGGGGAACCAAGAATCTGTCATGTGGCATTGGACACACATAACTGGCAAAGACAGAAACCCTCTTTGGAACTCCATAATGCAAAAAAAATCAGGTTTATCTGACAGTAGTCAGGAGCATTTGTCTTTGCTACAGACAGGCAACAAAATAATGATGAGAATTCCAAATAAGACATTTGCATGCAGATCTCTGCTGGTGGAGGAACATCAAGGTCTCTGAAAATATCAGCAGGACTTTGGCTATCAGTGATGTCTTCAGTGCTTGCCTTTAGCAAGCTCCCTGTCCCAAAACTTGCTTCACCTTTATGGATTTGAAATCAATTCTTGCACCGCTGAAGTGCAACTAATTCCAGAACGTTGGGGAAAGGGACATGTATATTGAATTGTAAAGCTACCTAATCAAAGATTGAGGAGCAGAAGATGAGCAGTGGGCTGTATTAAGCTGAAATCAGGAGAAGTCTATTTACTTAAGCTGGCAGTTGCCCAGGATTTAGAGTTCTTCCATAGAGTTGACCAAATGACTCTATATGCAAAAGTCAAGATGAGTGATGTCAAATGGTTTCTTCTTGTTTTATCATTGTGTCCTGAAAGACTTAACCAGAAATTTTAATCCCAAATGTGAACAGGAGGTTGAGAGAACATAGTACTCAGCACTGTAAGGATTCATGGACTAGCATGGCAGAGCATCACAACCAGCTTTGAATGTTTTTACTTGAAGGTAGCAGAAGCATCTTCCAGAACACCAAGGCAGGACATTTCAGACGTTTGGTTTCCCTTAAAAAAAAAACCAAACCCAACCAACCACACACACAAAAACCAGCTGAGCAACTAAATAGAGGAAAGCAACACTGACCAGTCTGTAAAAGCGTCATCTCAGGCTTTTTATTTGAGGAATCCCTGGATAAGGCTCAGTGAAGAGAGTTTAGTCTGAACCGATTTGCTGCTGGTGAGGGGCAGAGTCTAATTAAAGAGCCACTGCTTGAGGCCGAGCACACTAGTGACTAACCCTCTTCCTGCTCTCCACCTCTGCAGACAGCACCGAGGTGGAGTGCAGCCCAAGCTCTGAATCCACAGATCAGAGGAAGCTCATGGAGGAGCTGCAGAACCGCTACCGGCAGATGGAAGAGCGCATCACCTGCCCTATTTGCATCGATGACCAAATCAAACTGGTCTTCCAGTGTGGACATGGCTCTTGCCCAGACTGCAGCACAGCCCTCACTGTCTGCCCCATCTGCCGGCAGGCTATCCGGGAGAGGATTCAGATCTTTGTCTAAGGATATGCTTGCTTCCCTTCCCATTCCCACCTCCCTCTTTTACTTCCTTTATGTTTGCATTTTAGATGAGAAGCGCTAGTCAGGCTGGTGTGTTTGGCTACCTGCAAAGCCATCCTGAAAGAGAGGGAAGGAAATAACTGCTGTGACTTGGGTGGAGGTGGAGGGAGTCCCTCTGCCTGCAGTGTCCTAAGGCCAAGGAGCAGTGCTTGAGGGCAGGCAGCCCCCTCTCCCAGTGCTGCTGATCCACCGGGAAGGACCTGACTAAAGAGAGCACTGCCCTGTCCCCTGAAGGCCCACAAGTCGTTCAGACCAGAGGTGAACAGTCTGCAGGTGCTCACACTGACTCCGGTGGCTGCATCTCGTCTGGGGCCCCGCAGCCCTGCCGTGCTGGCAGGAGGTGCTGTAGGAGGATGTACCTTCCACCTCGGCAGGCAGTGGCGAAGCACACGCTTGCACTTCACAGGAGGAGATACCTGAGGAGCTCGGGCGAGGTGTCTGCTCCCCCAGATGCCTGTCAGGGGTAGGGAGGTAGTGTCCTGAGACAGCTCCCTGAACTCATATTTACAGGCTCAACAGGAACTTGGGACTGGCAGAGGCAAATCTGGATGTCACGAGACCCTAAAGACAGAGTGTGTGCCTTAGAGATAAAGTAGTGAACACTGATTGGAGAAAATATGTTGTTACAACAGATATTTCAAACTCTAAGTGACACTCTTCTTCCATATTTTTTTTTTTTTGGCACAACCGTGTGTTCAGAGACTCCTGAGCTTTCTATCCATAATGCCAAAGGCAGGTGTTAAATACTCCAAACAAAGTGTAAAGAAAATAAATAGTAATAACTAAGACGTGAGAAAAAGGGATTTCATTTTTTGTTTCTTTTGTTTTGCAGCAGAACTTAATAAAATAAAATATATATTTTCCTGACCATTAAAATGAATGTACAAACAGTAGCTGAAATATGGATCTGGCTGTATTGTGTTTTCCAACTGTCTGACTGAAGAAATCTAATCTAGAGTCCATCCTGTAAAGTAACTGTTGGTGGAAGTGGCAGCCTGCGGGCCTGGTGTGCTCTGTGTGTGTGTGTGTGTGTGTGTGTGTACAGACGTGTTTGTGTGTGTGGTGTATATCTTTAATGACACGATTATACACGAGCATACTGTTTGTTACATATTGCAAGCAATATTTAAACCAAACAAATATATTGTGTTCTTTTTCTATCTTTGTTCGTTAGCAAAGAGGTGGCAAATCCTTTAAAGGAAATTTTTAACTTTGTGGAATATATGGTAGTTACAGGAATATTTATTACTTCTCCATAATCCCTTGGTGCTGTGAGAAAGGCTTATGTCACGACCTCTGACTCCTGTTAATAATCTTTGCCAAAAATATTCACTTGAGGTTGTTACAGGTTCAGTGAATATTTTTTTTGGAGCTGTGAAAATGGATCAGATTTAAATTATTTGGCTGGGTTAGATTTAACACCCAAATAAGCTTTATTTCAGAATTGGCTTTGGTAAAAATCAGAGGTGCAGGTGCTCATTTACTTATTTCCTAGAAGTTCATGTAAATTCTTTTGGAATAAACAGACATTTCCCCCAAATGTTGCTGTGTTGTGGTAGGCCAGCGATAGAAAAGTACTGTGCAAAGGCCATTTTGAAAAGGTACCATCCTGAACCATCTTCATAATGCAGGAGCTGCTTTAACCGCTGTTTGGTGCAATTCAATAATTTTCCAGACTGTATATTACTTCTCCCCATAGGAAGTGGGTTTATAAAATATAGTTCTTTCACAAGCCTCTATGTCAAATCTAAAAGCAGTTTACTAAAGGTAAAACCGACTGATACTTCATCATGTGTGTTAAACGTAGATGTGTGCTGGCACTTGGGGAGGAGGGGACAGAGGGGACGAACTGTTCAGTATCAGTTGCCTTATTCTCATCTCTTGCGCCTACGGTATCAGTTTGTTCAGGAAAAAACAACAGGGAGCATCTGCTTTATATTTTTAAATAATTTCTTTGGATACTAAATGAAGAGAGGCTTCCAAGTGATTATTCTCCCTAAAGGAAAAAAATTGTAGGAAAACTGATGTCTCCAACTTCCAAGCTGTGCAGCTGTTGCAGAAAATGGAGATTGATTTTTATTTTTTAATTTTTTTTTTTCTGGCTAAGGACTAAGAGATTTCTATAGGGAAAGAGGAGCCCATCTCAATTTTATGTTTGGATTTTTTTGAAATGCATTTTTCATTTCAAGATCTCCTGATCTTATTTTCATATTCTTTCATTTCCCTGTTCCTGCTGTGATTGCTTTTGAGGAGCAAGAGTTGAGCTGTCAAGCACCATTTTTGACCCTTTCATTTTCCTAGTAAGAAGAAGGGAATTGCTACACCACAACAGAGAAGAAACAAGATGGTCAGTGGAGCCCCAGGAGCAAGAGATAACGGAAGGGAAGCAGATGCCCGTATGTGCCAGGTATGTTTTTGGCAAGCTTTGCCCCCAGGCTCAGCTCCGTGGGAGTCTGAGGCTTTGGAGAAGTGGAGAAGGTTCTGGTTTATCTTTCCTGAGAAGCTGGAGGGGCCAGGATCAGAGGGTGGCTTGTGGCCGACTGGGTGCCAGGCTGGGTTAGTTAGCTTTGTGTACTTGCTGGGTCATCTAGTTCATGTGTAATCTGGCCTGCACTCTCAGCCTGCCAGAGAGTTTCTTTGCTCCAATCCAGGCTTGAATCTGAAGTATGAGAAGAAAAAGATATCTGTAATAAGCAGGAAAAGAGCCAAGAGCCTGGAGCTGCATTAAACTTAGCTAGAGGTTTTGAGAGAGGAAAGGAGGGGGCAAGGTGGGGGAAGATGTTCCTTCCCTTTCCGTCCCAGTTGGTATTGCTGGTTACAGGGGCTGAAGAGAGGCAGGGAGGTGTCAGAGCAGTAGGCAAATGCTCCTTAAAAGACAAATAGTGTCATGAGTCAATCAGTGTGGATAGTAAGTAACTTTCTGCTCGATGTTTATTACCAGTTGGTCTCCCGCAGACAAACTGGGGAGCATCTTGTTTTCACTGGGGCTTCTTCCATCTGCGGTGCAGCTCTGCACCTTGCAGCAACGTACAGCAATAACTCTGAAAGGGAAAGATCTTGCTGAGTCTTTCTGGTGTAGAAGTTCAAGTATATGAGCAGGTTGTCTTGTACTCAGAACCAGGGTTTCTAAAGCACTGCCTTTGGAAGTATGGCCAGAACTCTGCGTTTACAGACAGCGTGAGACTGAGGGGAGAGAGGGAGGGAGGGAGGTGGCTTGTCCAACGGCAGAGTCAGGAGAAGAACCCATCTCTCCTTTGATTAGGTTCCCACTACTCCATGCTGCTCCCGGGGTTTCAGAAGGCTTGGTCCATCCACGAATGGATTACGGATCATTAATACAGCCCACCAAAGAGCAACAACGAAAATATCCCCACCCAGGGAAGCAGTTCTTACTCTGTTATGGACACGCTTTCTTATGTGTGTACTGACAAAAATTTCTCCCTTGTTTTCTTCCTGAACTTCTACTCGCTACGTGGCCGTGCCTGGACTGCTGAGCTGCTGACTAGGGTCAAGACCATGCCTCTCTGTACCGGCCTGACCTTGTGTTACCAGGCACTTCTGTGAGCTGCAGCTCCAAATTGACAGTTAAGCAAAATATTCCGTTTTCTTTGCCAGCTGGAGCAAGCCCTTGTTTTCAGCTCATTTGCTATTCAGCAGACCATGGATTTTTCTAGGAACATCAGCAGATGCTGATCACGAGGGGCTGCATGATAGAAAGTGGGAGAATGCTTGGGGAGTGAAGAACATTCTTATGCTCCCCCTCCCTGGGGAATGTTGCTCCCTGCTGCAGCAGATACAAGTCCTTTTTAGCCCTAAAAAAGTACAAGTTTTAACTGCCATTCCCACAGGAACCATGCAAGAATGTTGGGTTGTTTGGTTTTTTTTTTCCCCCAAGTTGTGAGATGAAGGGATAAATATGCAAGTGCTTTTTAAAATAAGAGCTATATGAGGCTTTGCTAATTCTTTTCACATGGGCCACCAAGGAGCCAATATGTGGTAAATCACATTCAGCTGTGTGCACTCCCCCTCCCGTGCCTGTGGCCTGGACTTGGACGGGTGCCTTGGAAATGAAACACTGATGCTCATGCCTTGAGCCATCAGATGTTAGGTTCTTCTTTCTCTCTCTTCACCACCTCCACGTAGAATTCCCAGTTCATGACACTGGAAGCTAATGGGAGCAGGTTGTTCCAATGCTGATATGCACTTAATCCATGAATAAATAAGAGGTTTCACGAGAGGTGAGGTGTCTTTTGGATGATCAGACAGCTGAAGTTCTAGCACTAATGGTTGTTCTCTGTGTAGCACCTCTTAGCAGGACTCTAGCTCTGTTGTAAGAGATTGTTCTTGTGACGTTTTGGGGACTTGAACGAAGTGGTGCTGGTGTGGATCTTGCTGCACCAGGGCTGACCTGCCTCTGAGACGTGGCAAACAGAGCAGACAGAACCGTTTAGAAATAGTGCTGAACCTAACATTTAACGTTAACGGTGCTGAAGGGGAGGGGAGAAATATTAAGAATAATCCACGAAAGTGAGAAAGTATTTATTTTTGAGCTAAAACTTGCCCTTGGGAATGTAGCCATATGCTGTGTGCTTTACAGCAGCCCCACTTTAAACATTTCAGCAATTAAGATTGAAAAGAGCAAAGGAAGGCGATGAAAGCGTATTGTGTTGTGCAAATGTTCCAATCCTTTATATTCTCCATAGTCTCTAGTTGACCATTGTAGGTTTTATGCAACATTCCTTCCCTTCTGACAGCTGTTTAGAGCCTGTTTTTTTCATGTGACGTTTACTGCCTGCAGAGATCTCAGGCTATGCATCCCTGATTGTTTGCTTACAAAATCCCAGCTCCCTGCAAATGATATCCAGGTCCCACTCACTGCTGCTAACAGCACAAAGACAAAGCAAAGTCAGTTTTGTACCCTGCCTTCCTTTCCTATTCCCCATTACACCATATGGATTCCCTCAAAGTGTAATGTGTTCCATTGCTTTTAGACACTGTGCAGAAAGCAAAGCCAGGAATGTTTTTCTGTCCAAATATAGTCAGGATGACGGTTCTTGCCTGTAGTCCAAACCAAATATCTGCACTTGAGAACCTGAGACCTCTAAAATTCATCAGAACTCCGAAGTCCCAGCAGCAGTTCTCTGCACTCGTATAAAAGCAATCCTTCTGGGGGCTTAAGCTGCCTGAATAAAGCATGGAGAATATATTCAATCCGTTGGAAAAGTCAGAGCTAAAACTACAGAGTTCTGACTGACTTCTTGCCCTTGGCCCAGGGCAGTGCTGGTTCCCAGAAGGGCGTCTGGGGAGTTGTCTGAAGCATCTGAAAGAGGCTTAAATTCTGACAAGTGCCGTAGATTTGAGGCCACTAATGGCTGCATCTGAGAGTCCTTTAAGCACAAGTATCTCTTGGGAAAGCCGTGAGGTTCTTAACCCGGGGGTGGAATGTCAACAGATGGTGCACTCGGGGCCTAATAATCCTTAAAATATCTATAGGAGAGAGCTATGCTTGAAATTTAACAACCTCAACGGTACTGAACTGGGTATAAACCTGAAATTTTGCTTTTTACCAGCCAGAGCTTGTACAGCAAAGAATCCAGATGCAGAGTGACTTTATCAGAAGCATCGTTAGCGTGAGCAGCATTAAGTTCGTGCAGCTCCCTCAGCTCCGCAAGCTGCATCTGTAAGTTCTGAAAACCTCAGCATAAGAGCTTTCCTCATCTGACTCTCATTGCCATAATAACTGAGGTTTGTCTTGGCCTTAGTGCTGAGCTGTTTTCTGAGCAAATATTTGGCTTAAATTTTAAAAGTTTTGAAAGTATTCTGCAGCCAGTGGTCCAGTAGAGTTGGATGCACAGGCGCTGAATTTCTGCGTGGATGGGCACAGTGCATTGCCAGCACGGGGGGGGAAAGCAAACTGCGTGCTTTCCAAGAAACCCTGCTCTTGCTTCTGATCCATCAAGGTACATACAACCTGCTCGCTACCTTGACGGGGAAGCGGGATCCCAAATGTCGCAGAGGTGGTGAATCATCTCTGCAGCTAAAGTTTCACCATTCACCCGCCGCATGCGGCGCAAGAAGATAAATGGCTAATACACAGTGTGGTCCCTTCCCCCTTCACAATCCTTGAGTAAGTCATGGAAAAGTGCTGTGCTACTCTTTAGTAGCTGCATGAATAAGTATTCAGAAACAATGAGGGCCTCAAAAATGTGCTTCTACTGAAGCTCTAAATACAAACTTTTGAGGGGGGGTGTCTGAGCCGAAATGGATTTTACAAAAATTTTTTACTTTCTTTACATTGGGACAAAGGAAATTCTTAGTTCCCTCAGGCTGTGGGGTTGTGTGAGTTCTCAATCTCTGCTTTAATACTCAGGGTCAGGTAGTCATCTTCAGAAACAGCGAGGCACTAACCCACAGCTTGGAACACGTCAGGCTCCTGCTCTGCAAGATTCCACACTTGACCTCGGGCAAGTCTTTGCTGCTGCACAGTACCCGGAGGTGCAGGTAACAGCCCCACCTTAACCTCCAAGACTGATGTGGGATTAAATGCTCAGGGAGACTGAGGTGCTTGGCTACTCCTGCGAGAGGTGAGGCCCTGTGTAACAGTGCATGAGTTAAAATCTTTTTCTAGCACTGCTGACTCTTACTACCCAATACGAACGGCGGATGCTCTTCACGCTGTTACGCAGTTTTGCAGCTGAAACTCAGTGTTCTTCCAGCACGGTGTTTGTTAGCAGAATTTTTCTTTCAAGCCAGTACTGCTCTACTGGAGAAGAGCTCCTAGCTGAAGTTTTTGAGCCCCGCTCCAAGGCAGGTTTTTACTTCAAGACTCACTTCTCAATCGGTCTTTCTGCAAATGTGTTCTCGTCTACAGACTCCCACAGAATCTTGTTCAGGGGACTTGAAACACTGATGACTTTAGGAGTTGCTACCAGTTTCTCACTTTGTGCTGCGGTCTGCAGTGTAAACCACAAACAGAGGTGCCTTTGCAGCACTCTTTGGAGCTCCCAGCTTTGATTTCAGAATGCTCACACATGTCGCAGCTAACAGCGGAGATGAGCCAGTATCTCAGCCCGCTGCAGTTGGCTGCTTTGGTCCACAGGAGTTACAGCTCTGTACCCTTGCTTCCTGCTCTTGCTCTTCCTCCTAGTTCCAGCTTTTCTTTGTAATTCTTCCTTTCATGTTACTCCTTATTCTGTCCTTCTCCTGGTACCTGAACAAGTGTTGCACTTTGTCCACTCTCTGCAGAAGGCAGGTGTTTTCTCCAGGGTGGAGCTTGGTAAAACTGAAAAATAAGATTCTCATGAAGTTGTACACAGACTCATTGGTCCTATTTATTCTGAGTTGTTTAAAAGCTCCAGGCCAGCTTTAATCGGAAAATACATGAAACTTATAAAATGTCACATGCGTGGTTATGAACTAGGGAAAAAAAAAAAAATCAGATTAAACCATTTTCATTATTAAAAGTGCAAGAAGTTTCGGAAACCTTTCAAATGCTTTGGATATCTCCTAGAGTATTTTATACTGGCTGGTGATAGAACTGCCCCCTCCCTGCCATTTGCTTGTGAAACTAGGAGATTGCAGAATTCCTTTTCCTCTCTCTGCTCAGAAGTGTTCAGCTGAGGACACCCCACCTCGGGAGCACTGAGTAGCCAGCACTCAGTGACCGGACAGAAGAGTGCAGCTATTTCTGAAAACCTGAGAATTTCTGAGTAAGCTTTTTAAAAAGTCCTGAATTGACTTCATGTCTGCAGCCTGGAGATGCCTTAAAGAACCGAACAGCGTAAGACAAACTGACCCTGACGTGCTCAAGCTGAGGTACCCAAGATCAGTATGATTCTGAGAACAGCGTCTCTCAGCATCACAGCCCCTTACTGGGTAGCTCCCAAGTACACAAGAGGTTTGCGGGTCACTTGCCAAGTTTCATGGAAGAGGGAGTTGATGTTTACTTTTATCTGAGTTTGTAAACTCCCTCATCAGAATTTCCTAAGCAGAGAAGCCCTCCCTGCTCTCTCACAGCATCTCATTTTTCATTGTGCTCCTGAAGACAGCCCCTTGACAAACGACAGCTCTTCTAGCCTTAAGCATCCCTAACGAAACATTCCAAGGGCGTGATGCTGGCTTCTGGATTCCTTTTTCTGCCCCCTCCCCCCAATTTTTTTCATTACATAAAGCTGACAACTGCAGATCTGTCCTCTGTTGATTATACAGTCAGTTAAAGAAAAGAGTGCATGTCCATCCCAGCTTGTTTCACTGCTGCTTTTCTTCCGCCAGCCCAACTTTCAGCTGCGGTAATATGATACCACTTGGCAGAGGCTAAGAGAATCTCTGGCACATTGGAAAGAGGCTTAATGTAAAGTCTACGGTTTTTCAAAAATTTTTTTAGAGCTTTTTGAAACTCTAGTGGTTCTGCACAACTTTGGCAGTAACTGCAGGGCTACTCACAAATGCTCCAAATGCAACTGTGAGCAAACGGATTACCAATGCATTCTGTGAAGAGAATGTCTTAGGGTCTGTCACATCTCCCTCTAAAAAGTATTAAAGAACATGGATCAAGTAGAAGAACTTTCTGCAAACAGAAGAAAGAGCTTGCTTTCAGTTGACAAGAAAAAGAGCAATGGCTGTAGAACCATTGTGGGATTTTTATGCATATTCCCTGTGGTGGCTTTGCTGGCTATTGTGGGAGATCCAGCTGGAGCTGCAGTTCAGAAAAGTCAGGTAGGAGAAGGATCTAATTCTCAAATGCTTGAAATGGGAGTGGGGATATCTAATACGTGTGCTTGTGTAGTCTTTTTAGAAGACAGATACATTCAGGAAGCAATCTAAACAATATAGAAATAACTGTTAAGGCAACAGGATCTGTTTGAGTCTCTTTTTACAAAGGATCCGAAAAGGTAATTAAGTATCCAGGTAGAATGAGATTATTAGAGATGTGTATGCAGCTTGCAGGCAACCAAACGGTGAATGCACAAAAGATCTGGGTCGTTCTCCTTTAGTACCTCTGCTTTCCCAGCCTGGTATGATGTGGCATGCATATATTCTGATTTCTGTAGCAGCTGAGCTTTCCTAGGAACGCCAGAGGCTCGTGGTGAGAGAGCTAAACTGGGAGTTAACGCTGGACCTACACAAACCATTAGCTGATACTAACTCTCTGTCAAGGTCCCTCTGTTAGTAAGATAATGCTGGGACAGACTGGTATTTCAGAGGCACTGTAGTAAGGCTCTGGGACTCTTAGAAGTTGATCTTAATTTTTGCCCTTTAGCTTTCAATTTTATAAAAACCAGTCTTCTCTAAGTGCTCTCATCCTCTCCTGTTGTTTGTGTTTATGAAGATCCTGGCAGTAGCTCCCCTTGTTTTCACCGCATGCTCAGGGCTCTTATTAATTGGTCCTAAGTCACAGAGTTCTGTGACTGTTTAGTTTATGAGAGGGGAACTGCATGACTGGGAGAGAGAGCGGGGGGTGAATTACATTCATTACAACTCACTGAAGTAAATTAATGGTGATCTGACTGCACAGGGTGAATAATGCAGAGCAGAGATGTTGGCCAGTGCCCGCCTTTATCCTTCCATAGTTGGTGTCTGATGTAGCTGTTGAGAGAGGGAGTTCAAACACACGGCCTAGTACCTCCCAAGCTTTCTGAATGTTTGGGACCTTAACCCACAGTCAGATGGGTTTCCTCCTGGGAGCGGCTGACCTCTTCTCTGGTTCTGAGTATTCCCATAGTCTTGGTTCTTTGGCATCTGGACAGAACCTTTCCTCCAAATTATACTGTGACATTTTTAACTAGGTCATGCCATTTCTGTCAGAATCCTACCTCTGAGCCACAGCGTGTGTGTGGTACCCCACCCTCCTCCAATTCATTGTGCAACATGTTCTTTAATGGAAAGCATCCTGTTGGCACCAGAGGTAGGTAGAACAAAGACCAGAGTAGAACAGAGGCTGAGTGGGATGTTTGAGCAAGAGAACTCAGCCTCCTGCACCCGCCTTGATCTAGCGACTGGGTCAGATACAGGTTTCAGTGATTGCTGATGGGCCTGTCACCCTTACTTTGGTTTGTATTTTGATGATAAGCTGACTAGGGACACAGACTTATTTCCAATGCCCCTCTTGCTTGTTCAGCACTTACGGCCTTAGGGCTTTAGCTCAATGGCTGTAGAGAAGACAATAATTTTTCTCCCTTGGGGCTGCAAGTTTTCCTTGTAGAAAGAGAAGCCAGCAGGCTGTTTCTGACTATCTAACCTTCCTTTGTGGATACTTGGGGGCTTTAAGAAGAGCCTCAGAATTTCACCCGGTGCCGGTGTGATTTGTGGCCTGGTAGCAGAGGGGGCAGATGGGCAGTGCCCGTTGCTGAGCCTCTGCAGCTTCACACGCCGAGCTGTATTGTACAGCAGACACAGCACCTGCTGGGCTGGGACTTAGGCTGGAAAGCAAAGGCACTGCGTGCTCTGCTGGCTTTGTGAAGGGGCAGGAGCAGCTCTCACAAGGACAGAGAGCTACTGGAGAGTGTTAATACCTTCCCTCATCCCACTGTAAGTTAACAGGCCTCCTGAGTCAGAGCCTGTAGAGTGACAGGATTCACAGTACTAGCAATCCTGGGCTAGTCTTGACTGATGCCAGAATAAATCAGCTCCAGTAGCAGCAAGGGATCCTGCAAAGGCATGAGGGATTTTCCTACTTCTACCGTACTTGAAAGAACTGCAGAAAAAAGAGAAAATATCTTATTATCCTGTAATTATGAGCTGATCTTCTCCAGGCTTCTCTTACAGCTCCAACAGACCATTGATGCACAGGCTAGCTGATCCTCCACCTTGTCTGTGCTGCTCAGAAGGATGCAAATTCTCCCTTTCGCATCAAGGGGAGATGGCATTCTCAGAGTAGAATTGGAGGTGAAAGGAGAGGGACAACAGCCAGTGTACTTGCATCACAGTGTCTTGGTGAAGAAGGGGCTGGGCCTTGAGTTGAGCAAACCAAACTATGGGCTCCTCAGCCAGAGCCCTTAATACAGCAGAGTGACAGAGGTTAGAAGGGAGCCTGTGTGTTCTTTCAAGAGCAAATTGGCATCTGAAGGCTCTCAGAAATGTGATCAAGTACCCTGACAAAAGCTTGCAGCTTAGAAGGACGAGAGGAAACGGCCTCAAGTTGTGCCAGGGGAGGTTTAGATTGGTCATTAGGAAAAATTCCCTCAGCGAAAGGGCTGTCGGGCACTGGAACGGGCTGCCCAGGGAAGGGGTGGAGTCACGTCCCGGGAGGTGTTTAAAGACCTGTAGATGTGGCACTTGGGGACGTGGGTTAGTGCTGGACTTGGCAGTGCTGGGTTATGGTTGGACTCGTAAGGTCTTAAAGGTCTTTTCCAACCTAACGGATTCTATCTCTCTGTCTCACAGGTGATGTTCTGTGGCCCTTCATTTCTTACATTCAAAGACTCTGCTGATTTCAAATTGTGAGGCAGACCCACAGCTGAGCTGGAGGAAAGACTGTCCTTCCAGGAAAGAAAGATACTGAGATTAGAACAAGATGGAAGCTAGTATGGCTCACGGGCATGAGCAAATGAGACTGGTTTCCTGTGAGGACAGAGTCCTGCAGCCTGTTACCAGGCATGGCTAGCTGTAGTCATGGAGAGGTGCCAGTGCTTTGGGCAGGAGCTGGCAGCTGTTGCGTTGGGCCTCTTGGCTTTCTTTGACACTTGTAGGACCAGGGATGTGCTGTTTTGACTCTCAGAGCCTCAGCTCTTCCATGAGTAAAACGAAGAGAGCTCTTGCTTTCTGCAGGATGTGCTCTCAGGCTGAACAAACTCCTACTGGTGCAGCTTTTGTAACGTTGCCACTATACGTACCACTGATAAGTGTCTTGGTGGCTCTGGAGCAAAGATGACCCGGAGATACTCAGTGTCGTAGGGGTGATAGAGTGGGTGGACTTCCAGAGAACACGCTGGGTCCCATTCTTTTACCTCCACTACTCGGGACTAAAAGGCTTTTACAGTGTGAGTCAGACCTGTCATGAAATTTGATGTCTTTTACTGTGTGATGGCTTTAAATGCACTCCAGGGTTTCCAGGGCTCCTATTTACTTTGAAGGCATTTCAGCTCCACAGTGCAGCTTTATGAAGAGCTCTCTGCACAAAGCGGCGCCTGTTTTACTCATTTATCCAATATTTCATTTCTTCTGTGGTGAGGCTGGAGAGCAATAGCAAAGTGAGAAGGAAATGAAAACTTTCCAGGAAGAGCTGCAGCACTCGCTGTAGCCAGGAGCCTACTGAGGCCTCGTTTCTGCTGGGTCTGTGCTGCACTCTGGGAGGAAGGAGTGGAGCGGCTGCAGGGCCTGTGCTGGAATTCTGCGGCAGGTTCAGGGAGCCTACAGCACCGACCCTCGGTGACCCAGTGGCAGGGGTGCTGCTCCCTTTCCTTGCCTGTCTGATCTCAGCCATGCCCCGAGAGCTCCTCGTGGTACAGCCCCTCCTTTGCTGTCCTGGCTTTGTTCTGCACTCCCAGAAGAGCCGTGCTTTGCCAAGCGCTGCCCAGCTGATGCACTAGTCTCGGCTCCTGGACACCCCCGAGGGAGCACCAGCTGTGCTCCCTGAATGCCCCAGACCTGCTAGTTTTTCTCTCACACTGTTCAATCCTGTGGCCTCTCCCATCTCTTTCAACCTCCTGTTTTGTCTTTTAAGGAAGATGCCACATCACCTGGTCTTCACGGAGCGAGTGCCTCTGCTTCGCACAGTCCAGCTTTCCCACCTCAGCCTCCAGCACGCAGAAAACGATACACGATCACACCAGGGCACTTGAAATGGGACCACTTCAACTTGACATACAAGTACGGACTTGCGTTAGCCCGAGGGGTTCGTGTTCTCCAAGTGATGCTGGGGTCTGAGTTTTCCCTGCCACGGGTGCAGACGTTAACCACGTGAATGCTGCTAATCCGTCTGCGAGTGGATGGGTAGCTGCAGACACTGCTCTGAAGTAGGGCGTATTTCTACAAATACTTCACCTCAGCTGCAAAGCATTGTCCCTGCATTAGGAGCCAGCAGCATGCATGGCCACATGCGGAGGCTCTGTAGAGTAAAACTTACTTTTGGGGGGGGCAGATTCTGGTTTCAAGCAGACAGGCTTCCCAGAACTAGGGACTTCCATCAAAGTAGTGAATTGAATATGAACTCTGTCGTGCTGGGATTTTCAAGAGTTCCATACGAACCTAAATCATCACTGAGGGAAATTGCTGTTGAAAGGTTCTGTGATTTCAGGAGGACAGAGCTCTGTTAGCACTGAGTGCTTTTAGAAATCTCTTTCTCCCTGTTGCCTTCGGGAAAGGATTGCCAGCTCTGAGATTGCCAACAAACAAACAATAAAAAGCCCTTGGCAGTTTTGGGGCGAGCGAATGTTAACCCGAATATTTTCAGACGTTTCTGCCAAGGAGAAGTGCCCGTCCAGATTACTGATTTCCAGCTGGGTTTACCATCCTCAGAACCAGCAGGACTTCAGCAGTACCACACAGCTGTAGTGCTCTGGTTCTGATGGAGCACTGTAACTGTGAAGTGCTCTATTACTTCCAGCAAGGAGGCTGTTCAGGGCCAAAGCTGATGGAGTCCGATGGATTTTCATGCTGAACTGTTTCTCACTGCTGTCTGGCTTTACTGCGACTGCTGGCGTAAGGCAATGTCCATCCTGTTTGGTGTCCAGCCTTGAAGCAGCTCTCTTCTTACTTTAGCAGTGGCTGAACAGCCCCTGAAACTATCCAGTGCGATGAGGTGTGGTGGCAGCATCCTAGAAGATGCTTTTTCTCTCTGGGAAAGTATTAATGGTATTATTGAATGTCTTTTGGGAGAGCTAAACTGAATTCAGCCTGAACAGGGTTCAGGGAATCCCCTTGGAAACCATTTTGTAAGATGAGCACTGATAGGTAGAGTCAGACTGTCACGGGGAAACCTCAGAGCAGCAGCAGTCCTGGAGGCTGGACTGAAGAAAGGCCCCATGGTCACTCCTGGCTGAGAGCTTGCACCTTCCTGGAGACACAGGAGCCCAACTAGGATTTTTCAGTCTCATATGTGATAACAAATGTTCTTTTAACGTGGCTGCTAGCTGCAACCACTCCTGAGTGTGAAGTACAGGGCAAGCCCCAGGCCTGACGTCTCAAGCACTTGCTGACTGTCCAACCGCAGTGGTTTAATGGCAGGTGACTCTGGGTCCCTGAGGACACTGGGAAGGGGCCTCTGGCAGCAGCAGTGTGTGCTGCAGCTTTTCCTTGGCACTGGGCTGAGGGTGTTCATTGTGGAGCTGTGAGGGTCCCTTGCTCAGGGCTTCCTTCTGCCCCTGAGACGAGTGGGTGGCATCAACCTGACTCCTTCACACTGAGCACAGAACATACCTCCCTTTACTCCCATCCCAAACAGGCTAAGCCTCACGCTAGTCTTAACTGCCCAGGTTTACACTCGTTAACAGCCTGGCTTGATACGAAACCTTCTGCTCCCTTTAGGATGTGCTGGGACGAAGGGAGAACATAAACAGCATAGCTAAAAAACAACCAGAGGGGATAGCAGAATATACACAACTTTTCCCAATTGCTACACTTGAGGCAGTTTCCTGAATGCAGATCTTCTTTTGGGACAAGGTAAGTTTCTAGGAGCCATCTCTACGTTTCCATGGTACAAACAGGGGTTCAGCTGTCCTGCCCCAGTAGTTTTCTTACAGTTCAGCTGTATCTATACCTGTGGCCCAAACAAAAACCTCTCTCGAGTCTCTCTCCCAAGTGATTAAATTTTTTTCAAAGGAAATAATTTGTTTTACTGTCAAGCCTTTGATATTCTTTGGAACTCTCTGAGTATTATAATTCAGTGTGTGCACATACGTTGTAGTCTAAGTGTTAGGAGTAGGAGTTACCTGCTCCTGAAATGCAGTTGTTTCCTCTTCTGGCAACACTGCACACGGACTGGGAGGTATCAGGATAAAATCAGTTTTCCAAGAGAAACCTGTCTAAAATGATGTGCTTGAGGAGGGATGAAAGCTGTAGCCTGGAACACGTGATTGTAAAGAATATCAGTTATATATTAGTCCTTGTGGGGGTTTTCTTCAGTGTTCTTAACGTCCAGTTCGAGCTACTCCTGTTTTGAACCTATTAGAGTGAATGGAAAGACTCGATTGTCTGATGCAACCTTGGGAGCCTTCAGCTGATGTTTGAGAAGGGAACTTTTCCTGAAGTTGTTCTGTGTCCCTACAGAATCTTGTCCTTCCCAAGAAACCTCATAAACGCCAGGGACACGCGCAGGGGCCTCGCGGCTGCGTTCCGAATGTGGAGTGAGGTCTCGCCGTTCAGCTTCAGAGAGGTGCCACGCCACGTAGCGAGCGACTTGAAAATAGGTGAGACCGTGTGGGCTCCTGCACCGCCGGGACACTGTCGGGGCATTAACTCCACAAGGGACTTGGAGAGTTTCCGTGGGTAAACCAGGAGGTGGGCGGCAGGAGACAGTCCTCCTTTGCTCTGTGGACTCAGCAGGGCCTCCTGGCATGCGGGTGGTGTTTGCCTTTAGGTCAGGCAGAGAAACTACTTTTAGGAGACGTTAATACCACAGTCAGTGCTTTCTGTGAATTGCAGTTGGGAAGTTTTAGGTATTTGACAAGAATTAACGCTCAGTCTGCCACTGGGACAGGATTATCTCTGTTCCGCAGATGGGGCGTATTGAAAGGTGAAATGCCATAGCCAAGGTCTCTCAGAGCCGAAGAGCAGGTGATGGATTCCAGCTCGTTTACGGTTTTAGTCGCCCTTTTGTCGATCCTGTCGAAGCACCATCATTTCTCTGTCCTCTCCCTCCTCCCCTTCCTTCTGCCCCTGTATTGCTGTGCAGAAGTTACTTCCCGAGTTTCTCAGGCCTAGAAAAATGTTGGTGCCGAGGCATTATCTGCTGTCTCAACCCCAGATGTAAATTCTTCCTGGGATTTATGGTCTGTGTGAAACAATTATTTCCTGTGCAGATGGCGGCAACATTGAGATAACCAGCAGATTTCCCGCAGTTTCGCAATGTGCTTCTCACTCGCGTGTGCTGTGACGTTACTGGGCAGCACATGATCTGCCTCCCCAGGGGCTGTCCTGCTGCCACGTGTGAGCTGGGGATGGCCCAGTGCCAGGGGATGCAGGGGACGTTGTGATGCTCTCACCAAGCTAACAAAAAGACAGCAGCAGCTCTGACTCCAAGGCCATCTGTTTATTTACGTTTCAAATGGAACAATTACAGCCTGGGGTTATCTCGCTGTTCAGCTTCTCTCCAAAAAAAAACGTAATTTCCACGTGATGTTGCAAACAGCACTCAGCATTCCCTTCTGAGTAATGGACTCATTTGTGTCCGTTGGAAACAGCTCTAAATCCAGGGTCATCACAGGGCTGAGTGTAGCTTGCATCACGTAGCCATCAGTCCTGACAACTTTATTTTTCCTTCTGTGGCTCTGTAGGTTGGAAAAACATGTGGGTATGATAACATCAGAGATTTTTTTTTATTTTTTTTTTCTTAGTAAACCCCAAGTTTAGAGATGTCCTGGGCAGGTTTACCCTGCTAGATACACTCAAGTCGTCTTCTCTTTTCACAGGCTTCTACTCTATCAATCACACAGACTGTCTGGAGTCTCTCATTCACCACTGTTTTGATGGAACAACAGGGGAACTTGCCCACGCCTTCTTCCCACCCAACGGGGAAATCCATTTTGATGACCATGAATATTGGATATTGGGGAACACCCGGTTCAGCTGGAAAAAAGGTAACACTTGTCTCGGGTGCCTGTAGGATTTTAGATTTTAGTAGTTCTGCTGGGATTTATCTACTGTGGGAAAGACACACTAAAAATGGTTGAGGTTTTCTGTTGTTTTGGAAGTTGTTGGTCTTGCTGTCGTGTGACTGAGCTGCTCTAAGGAACCATCTGGTGCCGTTTCTGGATAGTTCAGTGGACTGACTGGATAGTGCAGCCACCTCCTCAGTTACATCTGGCTTCTGCCCGGGCAGGTGTCTGAGCAGGGCCGTGATCTATTACCTGAACTTGCTGGCGTGGCTGTTTGTGGCTTTGTTTTCCTGGGCCTCTAGTCACTTTGGGGTTTGTGGGCACCTAAAAATGTCTCTGTTACTTATAGCTTGGTGGGTTTTTTTCTTCTTGATTTAAGCAATATCAAAACTGACTTTAAATTAAAAGCAGATGGTCTCTGACTAACTAGCAAATTCAGTTCATATTATATGGCCAACTCAGTACTTTTTCTGAAAGTAAGAAATTCTGCTTTTAACTAAATAGAAAGAGAGGAGAGGAGATTTTAGGCGACGTAGAGGGACTTCTCCTATCCTTCCTGTTTTCCAGAGCACAGCAACAGATAAGACGTAGGGACAAAGACCTAGGAGAGATGATTTTTAAGGCAAGAATGTTAGTATGTATTAAGAAAAGAACCGGTCGGATTACATTTTTTAAAATGCCCAGTTTTGAAAAGATGCCATTCTCCATCAAAATTCTGAAGTCTGGGATAACAACAATCAGTGAGTTTGATGACAAACCTATGCCTTGAAGTTACAGAGTTATCAGGGAACAGCCTTTCCCCAGCCTGTGTTTTTCTGCAGGCAGCTGCTGAAACAAGCTTAGACACTTGCAAAACTTGATTCTTCCTGAGGTTTTACTAAGATTATGGAATAAATGGGAGTCCTGAGTGCCAGTTCTGCCACCCTCAGGGCAGTGTAACTCCATTCTTTTCTATGGCAACGCTCCTGCATTGATCCATGTGCAGTTCAGTCCCCTGTGAGAGGAATAAAGCTCCTGCCTTCAGAAGGCCAGTGTGAGATGATTACTACTCGTTCACAGTGATTGCTTCTCTTTCCAAAGCTGCATTAGCCTTCTTCATTGGTGTAAAGAAGGATGGGAACAAAGTAGAATGAAATCATTGTTCTTCCGTCACATCAGAGAGATTGAGCAGTCTTGAAGAGCTCCAAAAAAATCCCCGCCCCCCTAGGGATTCCTATTTAATGGACTGATAAATGAAGCACATGTGCAGATTACCCCTTTCAGGTGCTTTCTGTCCATAAGCAGTTGCATTTAACACAGGAATTGTGTGAGATTCTTGTGACCTGTGCAAGATATCAAGATGGGTGTGTCAGTAATAACACCTCAGGTGCGTCACCCTTCAGTTAGAACCCAGCTCAGCTGGAAACAGGTGTCAAGATGCTGCTGAGAAACTTGAGTTTGACCTATAGAGGCTGTGGGGGATGCAGAGGTCAACTGGAGGCTCTTTCAGCCCGGAATATTGCAGCTGGCATTCTCACTCCCAAACAGACACTTCCCAAAGGTCATCCCACAGCTCAGGGCTGTGGGAGCACAGCAGAGAGCTGACAAGAGTAAGGAAATGCTGCCCAGGGCACTTGGCTTCGTTTCAAACATGGCCCTCATGGAGTGGCCTTCCCGTAGCCCAGCATTGCTTCACTGTGTGAAATTAGGAGCATGTTGAAGTAATTGGCTTGTGTTTGCACCCGAGCAGCTCCAGAGATGATGAAATCGGGGAGAGCTTTGGTAAGACCGTACTGTCCTAGTGTTAAAATATTTCCTCTGGCTTTACATCAGGATTAGCAAAGGTACTTTGCCACACAATCCCAGTGGTTTTTCTGCTTCTCTTCCAGGCGTCTGGCTCACAGACCTGGTGCATGTGGCAGCTCACGAGATAGGACATGCCTTGGGCCTCATGCACTCCCTGAACCCCAACGCCCTCATGCACATCAACGCCACTTTGACTGGGAAGAAAACCATCTCCCAGGATGAAGTCTGGGGAATTCACAGGCTCTACGGTAAGGAAGGCTCCTCGGGGGAGACGTGTGCTTATGGCCTGGCTCGTCACACCCCAGCCCAGGCTCCTTGGGCACTTTGTAGTGTGGCTTATGTAAGAATAAAAGGCCAATGTTAGTTGTGGAGAGCCCTGCCTTGCATTTATACATCTAGAAGCATCAGATGCACAAAGGGAAAGGAGAAGCTCACACACAAAGGAAGGGGGAAGGCAACAGCTGTTAATTACTCTTTTGGCTGGACTCAGATATATTAATACAAGATGACAAAACCCTCTGCAACCAAACAGGCTCTGGCAAGATTCACTCAAGCTCTGACTCTTCAAATATTACCTAGCGTAGCATTTCGAAACTGCAACTCTCTGGCCTCACTGATGTTCCTGCGTGACAGTAGCTCAGTATCTAACCCCCTGCTCCAGTGTTTGTACTCCTGGTGTAGATTCTTTCCTGTTCCATGGACATGGCAATCTGATTTAGGTGAAACATCAATTTGTTTCTCAGAAGAGCCTACCCTGATGCCTTGTCTCCTTCTGTTTCAGGATGTAAAGACAGATTATTTATGTGCCCATCGTGGGCACAAAAAGGTTTCTGTGAGAAACGCAGGAAGTTGATGAAAAAGCACTGCCCCTCGACCTGCGACTTCTGCTACGGTACCCGACTCTTCTCTGGGGTTCCTGGTGGGGTTTGCAGTGTTTGCTGCAGGGACAGGCAGGATCTCAGTTCCCAGGCTGGAGAGCAGAGGCTGGCAGTGACCAGCCCCATAGAGCAGCAGCCCTGGCCTCTTTGTATCTGAGCCGAGATCAGGGCTTTGGCCTAGAAAGCAGCTTTTCTCTTTCAACATTTGTGGACTAGAACATGAAACTGTCCTGTTCTCTAGTTTAACTGACCCAATGCTAGGGAGTTTCAGAAAACATGACAGCGTGTGCCCACGGGCTGCTTCCCTTTTGGCCCCAACTGGGGAAGGGAGAGGCAGAGAGAAGAGATGCAGTAGAGTTCCTGATGCAATGACATCTCAAACACAGCTGGACTAGTGCTGCTCTGCAGAAAAGGAGATAAGTGTGTTAATCACCTTATCTAATCTCTCCGTTTTATGAATCCAGATAAGGGACTAAGGCAGGGGGGTCAGGTCATGTTGCTGCAGCTGTGGAATTATTCTTCAGCTAAGAATCCCCAGACCTTCAGAAGCTGTAGTGTGTAACAAGTACCTCTTCCCCAGGACAGAGGTATTTTTTAGATGACATCAATGTAAAGATGCAATCAGCTAACGATGAACCCCTGTGTTCTAGGGGACTGTTCATATACTGCATGTATGCTCCTCTCTGTGTATGACTTTTACCTCACTTTTACGTGCCACAAAATTGTTATATTTGCATATGAACAATGTTACACATCTATCCAAGAATTGCTCAGTAGGAAGCATTTTAAAATTAGTATTTTTAAGGTTTCTTAGGTGATAAGAATTCTGTGAAAGCATTTTAGAATGGCTAAAGCTTGATAAAGAGGTAAGTTAACTTTTGCCACTTCTTTCTCTCATCTCTGGTGGATAGAATTCCCGTTTCCAACGGTCCCCCCTACTCTGCCCCCGCCAAGGACAAAAACCAAGACTGTTTCTGAAGGCAGGAATGTCACCTTCCGCTGTGGACAGAAGATAATTCATAAAAAAGGCAAAGTTTAGTAAGTGCTCTATCATTTATTCCAGTGCTTTTAGGAGGAGTTTACCTACAAAAAGGCAGAGGAGGGATGACAAAACAGCGTAAATAAGAATGCAGCTTATCTCCTGGAGGGTGTCACTGTCTCATTTGGCACCCGGGGTAGGAAGAGGGGTGGCTGGCTAACTGCGAGGAGAGGGGGGAGGCCCAAATCTTGTCCATCACAGTGCAGAGCTTTAGCCTGGGAGCAGAGCTATCAGAAATGAGCAAGCTGAGTTGGAAAAGGATAAAAATCCAACTCACATTTCTTACCATCAAGTCAAATTCCCCAGCCCATCTTCTGCAAAAATTTAGTCTTAAATTTACCCTTTCAATTAATAGTTTGTTACCTCTTACTGCTGTACAAGGATGTTATTTCTGGATGCATCTAAAACTGAGAAGGATGCCCATCAGTTTAAATTTAGACTGAGGTCCAAAATTCCCCATCAGCTTTCAGCAAGATTCAAATTCCTAAATTACTCACAACAGGGCACTGTCCTAACTGCCACCATCTGCCCAAAACACACAGTAAAACTTAACAAAAGGAGGTTAAATTCCCATCTGTGCTGTACCCTTACCCAGCAAGACTTACCCAAGGGAAAGAATCACAAACAGTATTGCATGGTACTAGACCTTTTGTAGTTTAATTTCTATTATTTTTCTTACCACAGCTGGTATAAAGATAAGGAACTTCTGGAATACTCCTATCCAGGTTACTTATCCTTAAATGAAGATCACATGAGCATCATTGCAAATGCAATTAATGAAGGAACTTACACTTGTATAGTAAAGAAAAAAGAAAGAATCTTGACTACTTACTCCTGGAGAATCAGACTGAAGCACTAGCAAGGGCCCTGGACTGAGCACTTCAATTACTGCTCGTTTTGTTTCAAGTTCAAACTGTTTCTTTGGCATTTTATATTTAATCTCCAGTAGTGCAACTGAACTTCTCCATCACCTGCTTCCATACCTTGGGCAACAGAGACTCTGAGACTTGAGTACTGGAATGTAAAACTTTCCCAAATTAGTTTTAATTAATGATAAAGACTTTATCAAGTATGTGCTGTACAGAGAATTAAAAAAAAAAAGTTTTTGAAAAAAAGCATCAGATTTTGCAGTTAAATGACATGGAGGGCAGCAGACTGCTGGAGGACAAGACCATAACTCTTCATCAGACCCAGGGGTGAACTGATTGACGGCTCCGCTGTGTCAGGAGGGAGGCACAGGTATTGTGGAAGGAAAATGACCCGTTATGCTCTCTTTTGCTATCATTTTTTTTTTTTAGATCTTGGTGCATAGCACTAGAAGAACTTATAAAAAGTGTAAGACCTGATGTGACCTGTCAGAAGGAGGATGTAGGGTCCCAACACCACAAATTAATGCATTCCACATTTCAACATTCAGTTCAAACATCCACAGATCATCTTTTACCCCCCAGAACTACTTTTCTGTTGTTTATATTTGACTTGTGCAGTCTTACCCCAACAGCCCAGGTACCACCCCCCGCAGCTCCCCAGACCCTGTGTCCTGTCAGTGTCTGACAGAGGGGAGGTGCTTCCCCTCCCTGCACAGCCCCAGCCCCCCAGAGGAAGAGGGGAGCAGGCCAGGTGCCTCCGAGGAGCAGGGGCAGACAGACTCATAACCTCCTGAAACAAGTTTCTTCCTAGTTAAAAGCACGAGCAAAACTGCCAGGGGTCACAGGCAGCGCTCTGTGTTGGCACAGGAAGGTGCCATCAGTAAAATTCTCCTCTGTTCTAGGACAGTTTTACCATCACAGTTAGCTGAGCACACAGCAGAGTATAAAACAAAACTGCATCTTTGCACGGACAGTTAAGCTCAGGCTCATAAAAGGCAAGCACTCTGTGTAGAAAGAGACAATGGAGACAAAAGCTGAGATGCAGTAACCAAACAATGTTGCACTACTCAGGGAGAGCTGGTATTTCCCTTCTACAAAAAAAAAAAAAAAGGGGGAGTTAGTGACATGTCTCTCATAACCATATTAAATTTCCCTTGCAATCCAGCATTAGCTTCTCTTTGTTTCACTGACACTATCCCAGCTTAGATGAAGTCGTCTTTTTGGCCAGGAACATGGATCTTCCAGTGATGGCTGCAACGCTGCCAAGGAAGCCAGGAAAGAAATGTCACAGGGTGCAAGATGCATGGCCCAGCGTGAAAGACAACACAGAGTCATGTTCTAATCCTTTAGAGCTTCACACAGGCCATGGCAAAATGGTTCTCCTTTCCTGTACTCTGTGGGATGTCGCAAAAAAAAAAAAAAGTTTTCAGCAGGTTGTTGATCTCCACCTGTGAGGAATCCTGCATCAGTTAAAACTAGTAATAGAACTGTTTCTCCTTCAGCAGAAGGCCTAAAGAGTAAATAGTTCTGCATTCCTCCACAGAAAAAAACAACATCCTACTGGTTTCAAAATTTACCACAATTCCAGTATGTGCAAATTCCAGTTCCAAGGCCGTTTACCCAGAAAACTCTTTTAACGTGTCCTGAAAGGGATAGAAAGTTTATCATTTAAATTAATCCTTTTACTGGCCTGGTGCCCAGTTTGGACTGCCTGAACACCCCAGAATTTTCCAAATCTTCCCGTTTCCAGAAAACAATGACAGTGTTACAGCTGAGACTCAAAGGCTGGGCTATTCCAGCATGGCTCCACTGGTCTTCCACCTTGTGAGAAAGGACTGGAATATGGCATTAGACAATCAGGAAAGCTAAAGCTGCTCTTTTTATGAAAAAATGGCATATTTTAAAAGAACTTCATATAGAAAAGAAAGTTTCAAGTCTCCATATTAAATCTTTTTGATTTATAAAACAATACTTTTGCACCAGTGCCATTGTAAATACATGTATACAACACAGCAGTGTTCAGCTCAGCAGTGCACCCAAAAAATATTGAGACCAACCCAGCCTGGCTCATTCCAAGGCACACAACAGGAAAGAAACCTCAGAACTGTTGGGTTTTTGCCCTAACTATATTCAGACACATACAATTTACTTTTTTTTTTTTAAAAAAAGATGCTTGCCCAGGCTGACAATATGCTGTAATAATGTCAGCACAGACATGGGGGCAGCGGGGGGGGGGAAGTTTCCACTCTAGAAGACTTAATGCGACCAACATCAAAGTTTGCTGCATGTGAAGAAACAAAATCCTTCACACTGTTAAACAATTAAAAATGTATTTTAATTCTACAAATTTACAAGGAAAAAAAACAAAACCAAAACAAACCCAGTGGAAAAAAAAAAAAAGAAACTAAAAATAAAGCAGAAACTGTTCCAGGATTGTACTTCAAGTTTTCCTTTGTCAAATTTTGTAACGATCCTTGGCGTTTCAGGTTAATTCCAGTCCTCTAATGGAATGCAGCAGTAGTTATACTCCACACCCAGCAGGGGCCTTTGAATCTGTGATGCCATCTGACTTTTTCCCTGTGAAAAACATCTAGTCTCCCTGATGTGAAGAACAGAACTGGGGCACTCAGAAATCCACTCACATGAACAGTTTTGTGGTTTGGTTGTGGTTTTTTTTTCCTCCCCTCTTTCACATCGAGTTTAAAACTTGAGGCTGAAACCAGGTCCTGCAGCAGATGCTCCTTGATTTGTGGTGGTCAGATGAAAACCCGTGTCTTTCAGATCATCATCACCCTGTAAAAAACAATCACAATTCATTTATCAGTGTCTGTGCAGGTGTATTTACCTCTCCAACACAAAAAGCTAAACAACAAAAAAATAAAGTTATTTCTAGGAGATGCGCAAGAAAATGTTTGATTTAGTGGCATCATACCTAAAGACAATGCAGAGTGTTATTCCTGATGTTTAAACATTGCTACTTCAGCAGTTCTCTTTTCTATGGGCATCTCAAGTGTATTCCTCTGATTCTATACCTACTTTTGACTGCACATGTGAAAGATGGGAAAAAAAAAAAAAATCTGTGAACACACAGTGTAAGTGTAGTTCAACTTAACATCTGATGAAAGACTCTGCATACACTCCACGTCAATTTTTAGACCCTGAAAAATCAAGGTTAAATAAAATTTTAAGGCTACTTCATCTTAAACTGGGCAGGATAACTGCAGAGTGCCCCTTCATCCACGCTGAGACACGGATGTTATAAAGAGTCTATGTAATAAACAGTAACGGATGTAATAAAAAGTTGACATAATTAAGGCACTGCAGTGCCCTACTTCCAAGGGCATCTTCCTCAGCCAGCTTTTCTCAAAATGGGCAGCACAGTCCCCAGACAGAAAGAACATCAGCCTCGCCTTTTCTTAATTCTTCTCCAAATATTGGAGACAGGAGACTGTTTCTATCCACAAGACACATTTTTTTTTTTTTTCAAAAAGAAATTCTCAGCTTTGAAAGCTTAGTTGAAAGTGTTAAACAATGTACACTTTCAAAAGAAGAAAACCTTCTGCCCTGTGATAAAACCGGGCATATTTTTTTTCCCCTCGGATTATGTACAGAAAAAACGATTTCTGTGAATACAACAGTAATGGGACCTGCCCTTTGAAAAGGAACAGAAGCAAAGCAGGACTTCGGTAGTGGCTTTTTCACCCAAGTAAGTGCCAGGAGCCCAAGAAGATGAACAAAATGCAGCCCCCGTGAACTTTTCCAGAGTGAGGATTTGGACCTGTGCGAGGCCATCAGCCTGCTCCTGCTGCACTTACCAACTGACTGTACCCGAGGCCTCCCTCCGGCGGTCGGGGGCTGGTGCCACGTTTTACTCTCTGTTGTTCGCTTTTTGCTGGCCAGGTGGGAAACATGGAGGGGTCAATAGGAAGGGGAGTCTCTCGGAAATACTCGTGCTTCAAACCATCTTCGGCAGTAATTCTTCTGGCTGGGTAGTACGTCAAAAAGCTGAGAAGAATTCAGGAAGATGACAAGATAGGGAAGAAGAGAGACAGAGGGGCAGGAAAAAAAAAAAAAAAATTTAGTCCCCAAAATTGTAAGTTCTTCGGAAACACGATGTAGAATTTTCTGATTTTCAACACAGAATTCTATTAACGGATTTGATTGCTGGCGCAATCTAACATAGCTGACTGATTTTAAAAGCATACTTTCTTCCACGAAGCTGTAATTAATCGAACAGCAGTTGGAACTACCCATCAAAAGTAGATTTGTAGGGATCTGTTTACAGAGGTATAAATGGTTAGACACCTCAGAATCTATGGGTGCTCAGCTACAGCTCAAAAAGAATCCAGGATGGTTCAGCTAAAATGTTTTACCATGCTGCTTTGGTTTTTTGGAGAAGACAACTGAGATTATATTGATACACCACAAAATACTGTCATATAGTGTAACTGAACTCTACAGCCTGTGGTTATTTTGCACCTTTAGCAATACAGAAACATGCTTCACTGTGCTATTCACCCTGCCAGTGCCTGGCCCTACGTAAACACTTCTATATCCAAGATTTGCACGTGTGATGAGTTCCACTGACTTAAGTGCGAGTTCCAGCCCCACAGGAATACTTTAACGTTGTCCTTCTTACCCATGAATATAACGAAGACATAGTCCTGTCACAACCAAAGCAATTACGAGGTAGATGACACTGATGTGATATCTATCTTCATTAAGACAAGTTGCCTTGCACCTTCTGAAAGGTTATCTAACTTCCAATAAATTACTCACAACTCATTCTAAGACCTGGAGCAGCATAATTCTTAAAAACTGGAAAGACCGAAAAGCCCACTTTTTAAAATAAGAGTCTTTTTCTTTTTTTCTTTTTAATAGAGACAAATTTTAAGTAAAATCTGAAACTCAATCATTTCCACTACTTCATGTAATGAAATTTAAAGGGTCTATTAGGGGAGGGAGAGGGACCAAAAACCTCTCAAGCCATTGTCAACTTTCTAAAGAAAAAGGAACCTGAATGCAATCAGAACGCACCAGTAGTTAAAGAACTGCCAGATCAGATGTGACAGAACTCCTGAACCTCAAAAATCTAGTTTTTGATTGCTATTTTCCTAATTCTTTAATATGATCTCTAGAATATACTGCCTGTTGCCCTTTTTTCAATTGTAATTTAATTAACAGAACCCAGCAGAGTGCGTGATAACTAACTCACCACATAATTAAACATGACATCCATGAGCTAAAACTACTACTAAAACATTTTTCTGTTCTTCTAGGCTATAGGTGTGCAAGAACAATCTTGGACTGAGGTTTACCAGCAGAGGTTAAGAGCATGGTACATGCTCACGTTGAGAGACAGTGGGAAAAAAGTGTTGCAAGGAATCTCAGACAAACTGCAAATGCATCCGCACGTTCTGGCAAGGTTAAATGCACGGCAACACCGTGCTCCCCCACTGCCCCAGCACGTGAACACCTCCTGCCAAGGACACCCCGGAACCTGGCACTTACTTGTTCATCAGATCAAAGCCCTGGTCAGAGAGCAGCGCTCCAAATCTCTTGCGTAGGTTGTTGTAGGGATATTCTGTGAATGTCATCTTCTTTACTGCTGGCAGCTCGTTGTAACCAGGCCAGATCTTTTCACTGGGAGTACCCAGATCCTGTAAATTAAAGCATCTC